CATTTTAAAATAAAGTGTTGCATAGCTCCTGTAATTTATTGAGTATTGCACTGAAAGTGGAAAACAGCAGGGTTGTAAGTGTACAGGGTGGTTGTAAGGGTATCAATTGTTGACTCTGGTGATCAGGTGGCTGATTGGAGCTGGGGCTCGCTGCCACGGAGCAGTATCACAAGAGAGCATCCTGAGATCGCCACATATCACCAGCCTGGGAAATAGAGCAAAAGGCGAAATTCAAAGTGTAGTTTCCACTTAATGTGTATCACTTTCTCACCATGGTAAAGTCAGACAATCATAAGGGAACCCTGATAGGTGGAACGGTCATGAGTGGGGGACCGACCGTGGTAGGGTATACAGTGGACTAGAATTTGCAAGGCATTTTCCTTCCCAGAGACACTTTCATTACTTTCTTATAACCATTCTGAAAAATAGGCAGGTAATTGTAGGTTTTACAGAAGAGGAAATTGAAATTCAAAGCTCTTCATTATGTTAGTGATTGCATAGCTATCTAGTTAAGGTAGTGTCACAGAGCTAGTTAATGGCGGAGTTAGGACCGGAGGCCCTTTCTTCCCATTCCAGTTCCTGTGCTTGTTCAGTTCTCTTTGCAAACCTCATGGGCGGACACCTTTGACTGCTGACTTCTTTCCACTACCTCTCTGATGTTCCTTGTGAGAAGTTGAGCAGACTTATTACAAATTAAATATCCGGATGCTCGAACTGATGAGCAGGAAATGAGGCTGTTAATACTCAGAGGAATGAAATCGAGACTTTTTTTTTTTTTTAGTAGAATTTTGGGCCGAGTGGCCTCTTTCTGTCCTTCCTTTCCCTGTGTCCTTCCAGTCTCCATGGAAACCCCAAATCAATGCAGCATATGTTGATTCATGTTTCTGCTGTTACTAGGAAGCTACAAAGTGGAAATTGCTTTTAAAAGATTTGTGGAAGAGCTTTAGCATGCTGACCAGAATTCAAATCTAATATCTGAATGACTGTTTTATTAAAAGCTTTTAATATGGTACTGTCCTAGGTGGTATGTTGATTAAATAAACACACAGGGGGCGTTTGGCAATAAACCTCCACCTCTACTAACATGGCTTTTAAAAATATTATATTGCAGACTTTAATTCCCTTTATCTTCAATTTAATTACATTTTTGTGGCCTGTGTGACAATGCCAGGTGCTCCTTTTGCTCTTGATTAATTCTAGCCTGCCCTGACCGGGCTGTGGGGAACAATAGTTTCCAAATGCCTTAGGTACCCATGCTGCTGCTCCTGAGAGTCATTAGCATTAGACCGATTTCAGACTTGACCCAGAGACCGAGGAAGTCTAACATGTTTCCACCATAAGAAATCCTCAGTGATTTTTCAGATTTTTTTCATGAACTCAAAATCAAATGCAGCTGACATTTATTAAACACCTGCTTCATACAAGGCAATGAGAATTGATAGCAAGAGAGTAAGTCATAGAGTCTTTGTGGAACACGTAGTCATTTTGGGAGGATCAGAAAACATAAATCACAAGGATATCCTACACACTATGTCACGGGCTGTCAGAGAGTCACGCAGCAACGTGGTGGTATTAGGATGGAGGGATTCCTTCTGATTGAGACCGTTCTGAAAAGCTTTGGAAAGGAGAATTTTTATCTCGAAGGTATTAGGTTTAGAGAAGGAATTGGGAGTTAAGAGGCAGATCGGGGGGGCAGGGGGAACATTTTGGGCAGGGGGGCAATGGAGAATCAGGTGTGTGTGTGCATGGGTGTATGCACAATGGGATACAAGACTGGATAGCTAAATGGGACCAAATTGTTAGAATGTCAGGCAGGACAAATCGTTACCACGAAGTCCATCAAAAATTACTCTATGGACCATTTATGGTACCTGATCAGTGGGTAACTCTGGTAGTAGTGTAGTGTGCCAGGAGTTAATGGGGCTGGGGAGGCGATGACATGGGGGCAGGAAAACCAGCTACTTAGGAGGGGGTGGATGAGACCTACACCATGGGAGGTGCCCGGTAACCTCTGAGGGGCCGTGTCAATGGATGGGGGGGGGGGCGGATAAAATTGAGAAGTGTTTCAGAAATATAATGAAAAGTTTTAAAAATCAATTCAACAGGGCAATAGAGAAAAAGAAATCAGAAATACCTATACTTATTACCCGGAGGGACTAGGACAGTCATTTCATGATCAAGCAGAGGGAGCCCGGCAGGAAGGGAGGACTTGGAGGGAAAAGTGGGTGTTTCTGACACAGTTGCATCTGCAGAGTCTGAGAAGGATGGAATTGTCTAGCTGTCCTCTGGAAAAGCCAGTCCGGAGCTCATGAGAGGCAGGAATGAGCATCAGTGCCAGAGAGATGCAGCAGCCCAGGCCTGGGAAGGGTGGGTTTCCCAGGAGGAGCAAACCAAGAACGGGAAGTGCTGAGGTGTGCGGGGCAGCCTGGGAAGCGAGAGCAGGGCTCTTAATGCCTGCTTGGCTGGGAAAAACCATGTGTCACCGCCAGCGGAGATGTCCCGTGCCCAGTCTCCAGCCAGAAACTCAGGAGTAGTAACGAGAAAAGAATCTAGAGCTCTGTATTCCTGGGCCAGGGCTAGAAGCCCGGGGACACAGAATCCAAGGAGACGAGTGTGTTTCTCACTAGCATTCCAGCCTGCTTGCCTTTGCGTCTCTCTCTCCTTCGGGAAAGGAGACCACGCCAGAATGCTTACCCTCTCCGTTCTGCTTCATCCCAGCCTCCCCACCCCTCCCCTGCCCAGCCCCTCGAATTCCTTATGCACCTGCCTCTGTGGAAAGGAAGATTTAACTTAGAAGCCTCCCCTGAGAGGGGGCCAGTCCTAGGTCTGTGCTTCTCAAACACGGGTGCCGTGTGGTTACGCTTTGGTGTTCAGGAACATTTTGGTTAAAAAAAAAAGTCTTAATTTTTTCTTTCTACTCGTGCCGCATGCACGTCCACGTACTCTTGTCCCTCTGCTCTTCATATTCCTGCCCTTTCTTGAAACTTTGTTAATGATTTTATCTTTCCTTAAACATTCGGGTTGGTTTATTGACTTCCTATGACCATATTATTTCTCCAAAAGCTAATCGAAGATTCTAATACCTTAATATTAGTCAGCCTCCACCTGAGACTTGGGTCCCTCTGCAGCCCTGCCCTATCCCCTCAGCGCCTTTCAATCCTGGTTGCCAGATGGGACAGCATGAGCCTCGGAGGGGCCCTTTATCTCACCATTTCAGCACTGGACAAGGAGTCCCGTGAGGGTACCACCTTTGTGTTAAAGCGAAGGGCAGAGCAAGCGTTGGGAACAGGAAGCTTGGTAGCAGGCACCCGCTCTGCCACTGTAACTGGCTTGACGCTGTTTCTCCATCTGTAAAATGGGGTTGATAAAGATGTCAGTCTTGGAAGTTTGTTGCGAGAGTTAAGTAAACAGCAGTGCAACGTTTAGCCCAGTGCCTGGCACATAACGAGGGCTTGTTGGACAATGGCTCTGTGCATGAATTGGAGAGGCTCCACCTTACCGTAGAACCTAATCTTGGATTAGGGAAGTGCTTGTCAGTGGGCTTTCATTCCCCGTTTAACTCTGAACCTGTTTTGTACAGCGCAGTGTATGAATAAAATATCCAGAAGCAAAGGATTCGCTAACATCAGCATGCAAAGCAGGGGTTCCGAAGAATGGGAAACATTTCTTTGGCATCTCATTTCATAACGCTAAGTTCCCTTTACCTGACAGAGGCACACTGTGGACACTTTGCAAGAGAGACAATGAGTCACTGTGGAGGCAGCATCAGACTTTTTATTTCATCCCCTCATAACGCAATGTGGGGTTGCGGCAGACTCATGTCACTGCGGGAATACAGGTTATGCCACCAGTAGATCTGCCAGGAATTCTGGGTCCCGGCATGACGTGGTGGGAAGAGCTCCGCTGTAAGAGTTCTGAGAAAACAAGTCTGGTCCTTGAGTTGCCTCAATTTTCTCCTCTGTAACTCAGGGATAATAATAACCTCTCTGGCTCTGGAATAGAGTAGTTGATAACAATACGTGAATATGCTTTCTACGTTATAGGAGGTTAAACAAATGCAATCTAATATTTTTAGTATCAAGCCATCACTTTCCCTGGAGATTTCTGATGCCTCCAGCAAATGCCACCTTCTGGGTATCCAAAATGACTTGTGGTAAAGATTAGATGCATTCGGAGCTAGTTTCTGAGTGGGAGCAGGAGACTGGAGTGGAATGGGGAGAAGGGAAGCTTTGTCCCAGGGCAGGGATTTGCAAACTTCAGATGCATCAGAATCACCTGGGAGGCTGGGCTATGTCCCCTGAGTTTCTGATTCTCTAGGTCTGGGGGTGGGGCCCAAGAATTTGCATTTCTAACACATTCCCAGGTGATGCGGACGCTGCTGGTCCAGGGACCATACTCCGAGAACTACCGTACTAGGGCAAGCAGGAAGGGACAGTCCTCCTTCTGGAACTGAAACAGGCAGTGTCAAGATCCATGTGGGTAAGGTGGTTTGGAAGAAAAAATTGCGGAAGACAGAAAAATTAGGGATAATGTGCCGATTGGACAGAACAAAGGGAAAAGTCTCACTCCATCAGGAATGCAAGCAGGGGGAAGTTGCTAGGTGATGGATGAGGGAGAGAGGTGAATTTCCACTAGAGGAAAAGCCAGGAGCACAGAGTTGGAAATATACATGTTTTGAGGAGGCAGAGGAGGTGGAAATTTCTCATTAAGAAGTGAGGAGTGGTGTGTTTGGTGCTGGGGGGTGGGAGTAGAGACAGACTAGGGGAGAAATGCCTCGGTGGAGTCAGGGGGACAGCTGAGATGTGGCAGAGGGGGTAATTGCAGGGCTGTGTGGTTTGGCTTGGTAGTGAAGCACAATAGAAATTGGGAGAAAGGGGGTGGAATTTAGATGTGTGACCTGCCCCGTAGCTTTCTTGCTCTCTGCATTTATCACATCACATCACACCCAGCAAGACAGCCCCCCTCCTCCTGGCTCATTAGGAGATTTGATTCGGCTTGGCTCCTGCTGTCAGCAGCTGTCTGGGGCAAGATCTTTATGCTCCCTGCTCCCTGAGCAGCAACCAGCCTTCAGCCTTCAGCAGAGCTCATTAGAAGAGGGCCCCCTGGACACTTGATTTTCAGCTCATCGGTGGCCGGAAAGAGTTAATACCTACGGCTTCGCAGCCCCCTGCACAGCCTCTGGGTGCAGAGAGAGGCAGCTTTGGGCTGTGGGGACTTCTCCCTGAGCTGCAGCCCGAGAGCAAGGAAGCAGGTTAGTGAAGAGGAAGGTGCGGGAGGAGTGCCAGGCGAGCTCTGCTCAGGGGCACCTCCTGCATCCTGCCAATGAGCACGGGCGTGCAGACTGTGCCCGGGAGCTGAGCCACCGCCCGCTGGCTGTAGGCTGCCTCAGTATTTACTGGATGTGACAAGCAGAGAGAAGAGCTTTCTGCGGGGCCGCTTGCTGCCCAGCTCAAGTGGTGGGAGGTGTGTTGTGCATGCATGCGTGTGTGTATGTGTGTGTGCACGCACGAGTGTGCCCGTGCATTCGTGCACGCGTGTTCTTCACCCAGCAAGGATCTGACTGCTAAAAGATAGATCTACTCTTTCCCCAGAACTCCTTAACCCGCAGCCTCTCTGACCACCCAGTTGGCAAAGACCCGCAGGCCATGAGGACTGGTCAAAGACAGTGAGTATTGCATTTGTTTTTCTCTTTGCTCTTCAAGGTGCCCATGTGGGCTGATTGCATTATCCATATTTAATTAACCTGCCTCTCCATGCATATTGATTGCTTTCTCCCCGCTGAGACTCTTAGTTTCTCTTCCCCTCTTTAAAAATCTTTGCTCTTTGCTTTTAACCTTTGTTTTTTGTTTTTGTTTTTTTTTTCCTTGAGTACCCGCTTTCCATTATGTCCCATCCTGTCTGCCCCAGAGTCACCTGTCACCTGATGTCCACCTCACAGGGCACATTGCCATGGGCCTTCCCGGGTTCTGGGGACCCCAAACTCCATCCCCACCAAAAGTCAAGGGCCAGATGGAATTAGAGCCCCAAGGTGCTGGGATGAATGAGGAAGCTGGGGCCACAGTCTCCTGCAGATTCTGATTGAATTGAAGTCAAGGCAGAGCTAAGTGAAGGGATGGGGAATGGCCTGGGGGGCGGTGGTGGGCAGCACGGGATTCGGAGGGAGAGAAGCGGGCATGCAAGCAGTCCCGGCAAGCCAGGATGAGCTAGCCGTGGGAACGGGAAGAGCGACAAGGCAGTGACTGCAGGCCTGGTAATGCCTGCCCCAAATGACCTTGCCTGCTGTGTCTGTGGGGAGTCATCCGTGGTTCTGTTCAGCACCAGCGTGACGAAGGCCCCTGGCACGGGCTTCCCCTCCTTCGGGTGATAGACCACAAGCAAGAGAAAATGAGGCATAGGTGACCCAGTGATTTCTTGTAGCTGGAAGAGAACCTTAAAGCTGGGAAAAGCTTCGATTTCCTGACTCCTGGGCAGGCAGGTGGATGCCCCCTTAGGACAAAGGTTAAGGGAATGTCAGTCTGAGCTCAGTCTCCTTGAGGATGAGCTTTGACACAAAGTCTAACTATTTTTATGTATTTGTTTATCGATTTTTAGTTTTAACAAAGCAATCTTTTAATTTTACGAATTTTGGTATTATTAGAGAAGGTATTTAAAAAAAAAGCTTTTGTGAAACATTCCGTGTAATAGCAAAATAATTTAAACAGAGTAGATCGAGTAGGGGCCTTATCTATCTAAATTAGGTTTCTTTTAAAATGGATTCTATGTTTGGTGTCAGGGTTCCCCGGGGGAGCCCTTTACGGATAGGCTGCTCTCTTCATGTGTTTCTTCCTATCATTTCTGTGGAACAAAGGGTTTGAAGCACTGAGAAAGGGGACCCTCAGGAGAGACAGATGATCAGTCACCAAGCCCTCAACCTCAGTATCCCCTTTCCTGCTTCAGGTCAGGAATGGGCTAGTCCCCAGGCTGCGGAAGGAAGGTCGGTGGCCTCCATCTGGGCAGGAGAGAGTAGCTTGTATATTCATTTTTCCAGCCTGGGCCTGAGATCCTGCAAAGGAGCAGGCCTGTGCAGTGGCCAGGGGGCCTGACAAGTCTCCCTAGGAGTTACTCTACTCTTCCCCCCTACTCACACCCTCCCAACGCTCCAGGATGGGTTCCCTGAGAGGGAGGAGAGAATCAGAAGAGCAGCCAATCACGTAATTCTGGAGCAAGTGCTAACCCCCCTCCCCCATCCGTGGCTGGCTGGTCAATTGGGCCCCGCTGGAATGAGACAAAGAGAACAGTAATTTTTGGCTTGCCGGGCCCCAACCTTCCTCCCCTGGGGCACATGCCCCATTTCACTGTCCATGGCCAGTTCTTGGGGAACTAGATGCTCCTGCCCCACAGGCGGCAATGCGAATCCAGCCAGCAGGTCCTCCCGGCTCACCCTTAGCCAGTCACCCTCCCTTAGGACAAGCAGGCCCGTGTGGGGAGGGGCTGTGTCGGGGGAGGCATTCTGCCAGCAGCCGGCTGTCTGAGAGGATCTGTAGCACAGTCAGACCAGAGAGGGCCGCCCCCCTCTTACAGCAGATTCTTTGATTTTAGGTGAGAGGCCGCGAAAGGGTAAATCCCTGTGCCCCGCAGTCCTATCTCCCGCCCTGACGTCCCTGCACATCGGCCAGAGGGTTAACCGTAAGCGGGTGCCTGTATGGCCGCTTTACTGATGCCACGCAGGTAATGATGCTCACCTGTCTCCCCGCCCCTGCCCTTCCCCCTCCCCGCCCCTTCCCCCCCCCTTGCTGTGTGAGCCTGCCCCAGCCTTCCACTCCCTTGGGTGGTCCGTCCCCTCAGGCCATCGGTGTGGCTGATGCTCTCCTTCCTGGTGCCCTTCTTGCAAGGTTGTGGCCTTGCAAGCAGAACCTACGTCAGGGCCAAACCCCCCCATTGACTGCGGGACTCAGGGGGTGGCCCTGTGTGTGAGCTTGCATTGAACCATTTAGGGACGGCTGTAGGGTCCTGGAACAGGGAAGAAAGATGAGGGCAAGCTTACTTCTTTTTGCTTTCCCTTCCTCCCTCCCTCCTTCCTTCCTTCCTTCCTTCCCTCCTTTTGAAGTGACCTAAACCTTTGACTCTCACTTCTGCTCCCATTATTTCAAACCTAACTAACAAGGTTATAATTCAGATCTCAGCTACACAAGATGGAAAATCAAAACCATTGGGCCCCAAAGAATATTTTGTGGAAGATTTTTTCAAACTACTGGGGAGAACCACCGTTGTCTCGGTAACGAGTATACCCTTTACACTGGCCCCCGCTGAATGTTGTTAGATGGTGTGTGTGGATTTGCTGTTTTTTTGAAGTCCTCTTAATTGTTCTTGGGGGCCTCGACCTGACTATTATGTTATTGATGATCCTGGGGCACCAAGGAGTAAACTGGCTTACTGGAAGTTGGGTTTTGGCCTTGGTACAGCCCAAGCAAGACCTTGACTTGAATTCACGGAATGTGGTGACTCAAGGGCCCTTAATCAGTTGCTCATATGGCCTGGTGGTGGAGCGAGCACCTTGTGATTTATAAGAGTGAGTGGCCAGGAGGCTCACCATTGCAGGAGAGAGAATGGCTATCACCAATGTTTGGAAATGTCACAAAATCGATGGCTTCATCATGCGCTTGGCTGAGATAAGAGGTGGGAGCACAGGACGTGCAGGCCCGGTTTTCTGCAGGAGAGGGGATATTTCTGGGAACTTGGATGTTCCAGCTTTAAAAGGCGCTCAGAGATGGGCTGTGGAATACAAATGTTGTCCATTCTTGCCAAATATAATACCATCCCAGTAGACATTTCTTGGATAAGATTTCTGTGAATAACTAGCTTGGGTCGGGGATGAAAACCCACTTGGAGTGAGAGGAAGATATTTAATTGTGCGGCCTCTAGCGTCTCAGCCCAGGCCCAGGATTCACAAACCAGGGGAGGGGAAAGTCAGGCTGGAAGGACTTCCTTTCCACACGGAGAATAACATCTCTGGGACTATTTCCGTGGCACATTGTTCCCAGTGTGCACGTGGCAGTGCCCTTTTATAAGTCACGCTTCAGTCCTGGTTTGATTACACCCAACTCTTTCCACTTACCTTTGCTCTCCATGGGAGGAGCTGCCATGGTTAAAGGTCAGGGGTCAGTAAACTTACTCTAACAGGGGCCAGAGAGTAAATATTTTGAGTTCTATGGGCCCTCATGCTGGAAAGCAGCTTTAGACAGCATGTAAATAAATGGGTGTTGTTGTGTTCCAGTAAAACTTTATTTACACAAACGGGCATCTTGCATGGCCATAGTTTGCTGAACTCTGGTTAAAGGCAAAAAGGGGCTAATGTTGGAAGTCAGAAAGAGACAGTGTAATTCCTCATCGGACCTTCCATAACAGGTAACATGTAAATGTCTGGTCTTTAGGAAAATAAGAAAATATGAGAATTTTATAAACATACATGTTAGAGTTTTAAACATGCTGATTGAGAGAAGCCAAAATAGAAATAGGAATATGAGAGCTTCGTTAAGTAAATAAAAGAACGGAGAAAGGGGCCTGGTTCTTAACTGCTGATTGTATCAGCTGCTCGGGCCCTCACCTACAGGTGTTAGTCTGCTGCTCTGTAGCCGTTCATGCATCTTTATCCCCAGGTTTGGGGGATGAGTAGGGAGCACCTGAGCCACAATCAGTTCGCCTGAAAACTTCATTTGTGCTGGGAGAGGTTCTGTGATACGCGCCCCTGTATTACGCAGGCAACCCTCTACTCTCCGTGCGGGCGCCACTTTTGGGGCTTTGCAGTTAGGAGCTGCTGCTGCTGCTGCTACTCTGCCCTCCTGATGGGAGAGCGAAATGTGGATTGTTATTTTGTCTTCACTGTATTTCCTTTCCCTACAGAGAATCCTAATTTAGAAATTCTTCCAAGCTAACGACCTTCATTGACTTACTATCAACTTGAATGTGAGCTTTGAAAGAGCATGAGGCCTCTAGGGGCAGGGTACCTATTACTATTCCAGGAGTCGAGTTAGGGAGTGAGGATACATCCCTTGATCTTCTAGGTATTTCTCCTCTTGTTCATGAAACCTTTAGGGACCCCCCCCTGGGGAAGGATGGGGGGCGGGTCAGGGGAGGCGGCGCAGGCCCCTGCAGCAGCAGCTCCTGGGGCCCTTTATAGAGCTGACAGCCACGATCATGACAGTTCCCCGTCCTTCTGCCCCTGTGCTTGTTGCAGGAACAAAGGGATGAGGACCCGCCTGGGATGCCTGTCTCACAAGTCAGACTCCTGTAGCGATTTCACAGCTATTCTTCCCGACAAACCCAACCGTGCTCTAAAGTGAGTAGTTTGGCCACACGGCACTGCCAGGGCGCTCCCCATGGGGCGCCCACCGCTGGGCTGAGGACCTGTTCTTCTCTAGTGAGATGTTGGCCAGATGCGCAGAGTGACAGTAACCCCCCGCCCCTCTGCGGCTCCTTTTATATCCCCAAGTGCATGGATGAGAATTTTCCTTTTCAAAACAGGAACCCTCTTTTTTCCTTTCAAGAAAACCGTATTATCCACCACTCTTACAAAGCTGTGGTGAACGACGCTTCTTGGTTCTGCTTAGTTGTCAGTCTGAGCTCTCTGTTTGGAAACAAACACTCAAATACATTCTATAACTCTGCTTAGGTTCAGAGAATCTGGGTTCAGTGCCTATACTGGGCGAGGACTGGGTTCGATGAGGTCATAGATGCACCTCATTTAACCCTCACAGGGTTGGGGGATGGGGGCACCTCGATCCCCATTGCAAAGGTGAAGAGATTAAGGTCACAGTAAAATACGGAGTCAGGAGCTCAGCCCACCTTTTCTGACCCTAAGGCCAGCTTCTTTCTGTTGTTACTCTGACGTGTCTATAGCCTGTGCTTTTTCAGCTTGGTGTTTTAGACTGAAAGCCAATACACAAATACCCAGAGCTCCAGTGCTGAGGTCTGCCATCATTTCCTTGAGTGTACACGTTTCTGGCAACAGACTTGCAGGAATGTGGGTGGTTTTCATTGGCACCCTGCCCCCCGCCCATCATTGTTGAGATTTGTTTTCCGGAGCAAATCCCAGGGGTCTGCTGATGGAGAGGGAGGGGCATTTCAGAAATATTTAAGAGAGATGTTTCTTCTTTCCTAGGAGACTATCCACAGAAGAAGCCACGAGGTGGGCAGATTCCTTTGATGTGCTTCTGTCCCATAAGTGTAAGTAGAATTCAGGCTTTGTCGTGCCGCAGCCAATCATCCGTTTAGCCAAAGAGGCACCAAATACCCGCCATGATCCAGGTTCTATCCAGGTTCATGTCCGGGTCCCCCAGACAGCTCCAGTGTCTGCGCTCACAGAGCTTCCTGCTTAGGGCAGTATATAGATAACAAGATGTAATTTAAATGTAGTGGGAAGAGGGCCTTCTTTTCTGTGTTCTGGATTGAAAGGATGGTCCCAAGAAGCCTTCATGTTTTCAGCAGTTTCAGCAGGAAAGAATTTAGTTTGGGGAGTTGGAGTGATGGGCTCAGTGGAAATGATGGTCCAGTGCCCATCCTAGATCTTGTTTATAAAATTAAATGACTCCCCCCCGCCACCACCACATGTCTCTGGAAAGTCTTGGTTTACTCATCCATCAAATGAATAATATTCTGTGCATTTTGTTAGTCACTTGAGTTGGTATAGTTTTGTGTTTGTTTGTTACTTCTTACTTTGGGCGTTTACTACCCTGGCTGTAGCTCACTCCTCTGTTTCTGGCTGGCTGTGGGTTTTACTAGAATGCATTTCTGCTATCTCTCCTCTTCTGTTTTCCCAATACCCGCCCCCCCCCCAAATTGCAGAAATAATCATGCGTATTTTCCTGTGGGAAGGACACTTTGACACTGGCCAAACTTTTCAGTTCTTGCTTTTTTCTCATCACAAGCAAGTCTGAATTCATCGGGCTTTAAAATCCTAGTGCCATGAAATACATGGGAGAGGGAGAGCTGGGGCAAGGAAGAGAGAGGGTCTTTTGCAGAGTAAAGTTTTCACGCAGACCTTCAGTCCTCCTTTTAAATTCTCCCTGTCAATACTAGAAATCCTGATTGATCTGGGAGCTAAAGGGTTGCTTTTAGCTTGGAGTCTCATTTCTCCTTAATTGGGGACATGATTCTGTACAATGAGGTTAAGGGCATTGGCTGGTAGTCAGACCTATGTTCTTGATTTGGACCCAGCTCGGCTACTAGATAATTGAGTGGCCTTGATGGAGTCTCCCAATCTTCAGATGTCCTCAGAAGTGATTTTGCTTTCCGCTGGATCAGCACTTCCCTCTGACTAGGCCCCTGATCCTGATACCGGTTACCAAATGCTCTTGAATACATTTTAAAATGCAATACAAGATCTAAGAATAAGCATATATTTGCAGCATGTAGTTTTGCGAGACAAATAGTCATTTTAGTGTTCTGCGGATTACACTTAGGAAGGAAAACAAGGCAGCAGAAATACAGTGTGTGTGACATATGGCTTATGTCACAAACAGCAAGCTTATGTGGTGACTTTGCCAAGGTAATGGCATATGTACAATGATAGTTAGGGTTTCCCAGTAAGGCTTGTTCTTTATGGGGCCATTTTTGACTTCTTTTCTGGAGTCCCGGTAGGCTAAACAAGTGTCGTTATTAACTTAAGCCTTCTTTTCTGGCTGCATTTGCTTCAAGGTCATCTTGGAGTTTGGTTTTTATTTCAACCTCATGACTGACTCACTTAGTTCAAGTCCCTGAGGCTGTTTCCTCATTCTGAAATGGTGATAGAAATACCTGTGTGCTACCTGTCACCGGGGTCAGGGAATCTTCATAAGAGGACACCTTCAGATGATTTGGGGTTCTCTACTTAAAGGTGTTTTGTAAGAATATGGCCGTATTTAAGTGATGGTTTTATTTATAAAATGCAAAATAAACATGCCTGAAAAATAGGTTTGCAGGGACGCCTGGGTGGCTCAGTTGGTTAAGCGGCTGGCTTCGGCTCAGGTCGTGATCCCAGCATCCTGGGATCGAGTCCCACATCGGGCTCCTTGCTTGGCAGAGAACCTGCTTCTCCCTCTGCCTCTGCCTGCCACTCTGTCTGCCTGTGCTCGCTCTCTCTCTCTGACAAATAAATAAAGTCTTTAAAAAAAAATAGGTTTGCAAATTTCGCCAATTATTAATGCTGAGCCATTATAGACAGAGTTTACGGTGGGTCAATCAACAGATGCAATCTTGGGGTATATTTGGAGTGCTGCTCTGGCAAGACCTGGAGATCTAAGGGCTTCCATGTTATGTGATTCAGTGACTTGTGACCTGAAGAGGCTTGCTTCTGCTTCTGTGGGGGATGGCTTCAGTTTCCAGGACCTCTTCTGAGACGGGGATTCCACTAAGGGCTTACAAGCTGACACCAGATTGCTTCTTTGTCCCAGACCGCTGCAGAAATAGGTTTTTTGAACTGTGAGGTTCTGTGATCCGTCTTGGAGTCTGATGTTCTGTTTTGATTTCTGTTTCGTAAGGAAATAAAAAGCCAATGGAGTGCATGTGTTTGAGAAGAAAGGGACCTGTATTCATGGGTCACTGGCAGAATTTCAAGGTTTTAGAGCTTGACTGCTCTCTCCCTGTGAAGGCTAAGGGAGGAGTCAGAGCCAGGTTACCTTGAAGGGTGTTGACAACTTTCGTAAAGTCTAATTAATTTGGGCTAATATTGTGACTCAATTAGGGCTGATTAAGCTTTTCCAAAGGGATTGCATGTGTGCTGGTCCCTTAGGAGGGACAGTGGTTGATCAGAGGTGTGCAAGGCTTTCAATTAAGATAGCAAAATGTCCTAAAAAGTAAAGAAAGGAGAATCACTGAATGAGCTTCCAGAAAAAAAAAAAAAGAAAAGAAAAGAAAAAAAACGTGCATTAGTCTAGAAACCAACCCCCTGGTAATCCTTTATACCTAGGCAACTGTCCTCTCTGAGTTTTCCATTTCAGATAATTCAGATCATTATTTTTGTTCCCATTCTCAATTTATAGAGCATTTTTACCCTCCCTGCACTGCCTGGCTGTTTTGGGCCCTCATTTATTTAAAGAAAGGTGTATTAAGTGTTTATTATGTTCGAGGTCTGTGCGAAGCAGCTGGCTGGGGGCGGGGGCACCGAGAGGAACAGGAGAGCACCTCCCTGGTGGAGAATGCAGCCTTCGGAGACGCGGACATGCATACAAATAACATAAAAAATAACCCAGTGTGTTGCCTACAGATGAGGGAGCTTCAGGATTTCAAATAGAATCCCGACATTCGGTGCTCCTCTTTGGTCCCGTTCTGTGGGTATTAGAAGTCCTCACCGACCTGACGGCAGCAGGGCTGCTTTCGGTGTAGAGCCTGGTTTCTACTTAATTGGAGAAGATGCTTCTGTACAATTAAGTTACGAACGTTAGCTGGTTGTCAGACCTGCGCACGAACGATGCTAACCCCTCTGTTCCCAGATAGCTGGGTCGCCTTGACGGAATCCCTCAGTCTTCTGGAAAATCTGGTTCTTCATCTATGCAATGAAGGATCTGGAAGAGGATGTCTCAGGCACTGGATCCAGTCCTACCCTCTTATTCTAGGATGCTGAGACGGGGCCATTAGCAGACACCCAGGCAGGTGGTTTGAGTCAGCGCTGCTGCCTGCCGGGTTATGTAAAACCCCTTCAAAGCTGAGATGGTTCAAGCAACCAAATGAGGGGCGAAAGCACCTGTGTTGGGAAGCTTTCTCTCCTTGACAGGGTCCTGCTGTGTGGGGAACACTTCTCAGGCTCCAGCCTCAGGAAAAGAAGAAAACAAACTTGTTTTTTAAACTTGAGAGCGAAAAGAAATCTGGAAAGCAAATATTCAGAGCAGTTTGGTTTCCAGTCACATTTGCTTATAAAGCTGAAGAGGCATGCATGGAGGTCCGGGGGATAGCCACTTGCTGAGGGCTTTTTTTTTTAATTTTCTTTTTAAACTAAGAAATGAAAAATAAAATTGAAATTGCTGATGACTTTATTAGCTAGCGAAGGATTTCTAATGTGGGTTAAGTTGGCATCTTTCTCCTGCTCACCCAGGGACAGTTAGACTTGGTGTCTGAGCTGTGCACTTAGGCTGCTCCCTGGTGTGTGTGTGTGTGTGTGTGTGTGCACTCACCGAGAGGCCTTCCTGTGTCTGTAGCTTATACCCAGGAGAAGGAAGGCTCCCAGCTTACGGGAGATGTGTTTTCTGACAGGTTGCGGGTGAGTGGGCACAAAATTGTCTGTCTTCTGCTTCGATTTCCTCATGAGGCTCAGGCATATGCTTGTTATTTGTCCTGCTTTTAGTGGGACATTCAGTCCTGAACTCTGATCCAGTTCAAACTCTGAATCTCCCTCCTTCTGTCCTTCCTCCCTCCTTCCTTTGTGGGATTTTTTTTTTTTTTTTAAACATAAAAGTTAGATTATTCCAGTTTGAAGAGGAAGCTGTAGACAGGGTTCCTTCCCCTTCCTCTCCCTTCTTTCAGCCTGATCCCACACCTGGGTGACAGAGCACTTTCCCCTGGGCCTCCATTTGGTCCTTGGCTTTGTTTCATTGTTTGCACAGAGCATGGAGTTTCTATGCTGACCTGTCCCCACCAGGCCCAGGGACTCCAGATTAGTGGACTAGTACAACTGAAAGCTCTTTTGCACTCACAGAATTAGTATCCATCTCTGCGAAAAGGAGTCCAATAAGGAAGCTTTTAGTTTTTTAAAATTAGGGATAATGATTGAGATAGAGAAAAATATAACAACTTGATCTGGTCACACAGCAACCAAGCAGAAGACCTCAAGCAAGCAAAAACATGAAAGTTACGAGCAAATGAAATTCCTTAATTATTCATCCAAATGGTCGTTAGCTTTAGAATGTAGAGTTTCAACTATCTAGTTCCCACTCACTGCATAGCCCTCCCCACCTCCTTCGCCAAGCCCCCCAAATCCTAGAACAGTGTTAGTGCAAGTGTGATCCAAAGAAGCAGCAGCTGCTGGGAGCTTGTAAGAGATGAAAATTCTGGAGTTCTGTCTCAGACCTGCTGGGTCAGCATCTCCGTGGCCTAGGGGCACAGTAAATTTTTCTCAAGCCCTCCAGTAATATTAATGCCCACCGAAGCTTGAGAAGCACTGCTCTAAAACCTAAGGCAGTAACGCGATGAATCTGGAATATCTTGGTGAGGCAGGTGGACTGTGCTTTCCAAGAAACTCACTGAGCTCTGGATTA